ATTATTGGATAAATATATTTTATTCTAAAATTATATTAAAATTAATGTGTTTATCTTCCATGCAGCGCCTCTTAAGTGGAGCCCAATCAAATGCGAGCCAAGAGGTTTTTGGAGTGGGTACATCTTCTAGGTAAGCCGATGATTAGTCACGCTGACAAACATCCTTTGAATGGTGGCAGCGATGGATACCAGTTCAAAAAAAAAAAAACTTTGTTTTAAAATTAAATTTTGAAGTGAGAAAATTGCCATTTATTTTCACACAAATGTGAATAGGATTTGCATTGGTCCAATGCCACGTGGAGGCATACAGTGTTTCACTTCACTCGGGAACTTCACCGGCACTTTCATATATAGCTGAACGGACCAAAAGAAATTCCTCATCCGCTTTTTCTTTTGTTATCATAAAATTGAGCAAAGTGTTGGAGAATAATTCTGCGAAGTAACAGGGAGAAGAAAATAAAGGAAGAGAAGAAGAAGAAGAAGAAGTCAATGGAAAGAAATGGATCGGAGCTTGACCTGCCGGGATTCCGGTTCCACCCGACGGAGGAGGAGCTACTGGAGTTTTATCTCCGGCGAGCCGCCAGCGGCAAGAAACTCAACTTCGACATTATTGGAACACTGAATCTTTACCTTTATGATCCATGGGACCTTCCTGGTATAAATATCTTCAACATCTTCAATTTATATGTCGATAACTTGGAGAGAGCTTTTATATAATTTGAATGGTTAATTTGGTTTGATTTCAGCCATGGCTAAGATAGGAGAGAGGGAGTGGTACTTCTTCGTGCCAAGGGACCGGCGGCATTCGAACGGCGGTCGGCCGAACCGGACGACGGAACGCGGGTTCTGGAAGGCCACCGGGTCGGACCGGCCCATCCGTAGCGTTGTTGATCCCCGCCGCCTCATTGGCCTTAAGAAGACCCTTGTTTATTACCGCGGTCGCGCTCCACGTGGCAGCAAGACTGACTGGGTTATGAATGAATATCGTCTCCCTTCCCTTCCTAACCAATCTTCCGCTTCGCAGCCTTCCAAGGTACGAATACAATTCCTTTAATTTAGTTCCAAATAGAACAAAAAAAAAAGAAATATTCTATTTTTTCTATATTTAAATATTTTACAATTCTCTCACATATTTGATATTTCATAGAAAATATAAATCAAAATATGTTTGATTCTTTAAAAAATTATAAGTTCTCAAATTTAAAAGGATAATTAAGGTGGACATGTGATGGTATATCATTCTTATTAAATTTTTGTCAATCTTCACATAAGAAAATTATCCATTGTAGACTGGCTCTTAATGTGAGTCTTTTTTTGTTAAATAGGAAGATATAGTGTTATGCAAGGTTTATAGAAAGGCAACTTCGTTGAAGGAGCTTGAGCATAGAGCGGCAATGGAGGAGGATAGTCGGGCCTCGCATGGAGCCACAGTGTCGGCGACCTCTTATGATCAGGGAGATGTGCAAAGCTTTGGCTATAATGAAGCGATTATGGAAATGAAGGAGGAAACTGAGACAACAACGTCGACTGAAATATCATCATCAACGACGCAGTTTCGACCGCTGACGATGCCTTTTCCCGTGTCAACTGAGACCTATCAACGACCTACGATTTCACTCGAGTCATCAGCAGATCAGGGGCAGCTAAACCCGTCGGCAAAAACTACGGCGAACCGACAGCTACCGAAACTGCCAGCGCTTCAAGTACCCAACCATACGAGCTTTGATTGGGTGCAAGACCCGTTCTTAAGCCAGCTAAGGAGTCCATGGCTTGACCAATGGTCACCTTTATATGCCAATTTGCTAAACTTTTGAATTCTGACACTTGGAAGAATTTGGGGCGATGGCGACTCTTTGTATATGTGATTGATGATTGATTACTCAAAGACAGCCGTCCGATCTGTGGAGTCTTGTGAATTCGTTAATCATTATTCATTGGGGATGGGAAGGAGCTGTTGTAATTTTATTTTATTTTATTAATTATATTTTCTTTGAGCTGCAGTTATTTCATCTTCGTGGTACACTTATCAGCCAAAGGATGACTGAGTAAATTAAAATATGTAAAAACTGTAATATAATCTTTTTATTTTTTATAAATTCGCATTCTTTAGTTTGTTTAATCTGTGATATTTCTCAAATAATTGTTAAGATTTGTTGCGTCCAGGAGTATTCGCGGCGGTAGAGAAATATTATATTTAACGTCTTAGCATTGTACGAAGATCTGGCACGCAAGCAGATAAAGAGAGAGGGTCTAGCATTTATGAGACACCAAGATTTTTACGTGGAAAACCCCTGTAAAAGGGGGAAAAACCACGGGGCCTAGCCCAGTTTGAACGAATCCACTAGTATTTGCAGTCGATTACAAATGAGACCCTTCCTTGGGAGAGCCTTAGCTTGATGTACATCTTATGGAGTACATTACATGATGTAAATACAAAGAGTCATTGTTGACATGTTCGTTTGGTCGGAAGGACCATAGTCGGCGGGCGACGTAGGTCAGGAGGACCGTAGTCAGCTGGCGACGGAGGAAATATTTTTTTATTAAACAAATTTTAATTATTATATTAAGAAGTATTAAAAAATATGTCCTAAAGAAAGCCTAAATGTTGGAAAAGAAATAAATAAGAAAATAAAGAAAAATAACACTCTTACGTGCAATCAAACGAGCCCTTACGGTATCCCTGGTCAAAAATTTCTCCTGATTTTTTACTGTCTACTCTCTATGATTTTCTTTTAAAGAGTTTTTATTATAGAGGAATGCTTTTTGGACTTAATTTTTTTGTAAAAAAAAAAAAAAAAAGCAAAGTTAAAAAATGCTTTTTGGACTTAATTATTTTGTTAAAAAAAAAGCACAGTTAAAAAAAAAAATGTTCTATGACCCGTACGCACAATTAATACGGTACGGCAATATTTTCCGCAGCACTCCAAATTATTTATTTTAACAAATACAAATTTGACCTTCTCTCTTAGCCTAATTATTTCTTTAAAAAATAAATAAATTAATATCAGTATCATGTAAGTAGCCATATAAAATATTTTTTGTGAAATCTGACCTTATGTAGAAAGTATTCTGTGCAGAATTAGAACAGAAAGTTTTCATCCAGACTGTGAGGAGTGTATATATTATTTACACATATTGTGTATAAAAAATCAAACTATGTACAAAATTGTACAAAGTGTACATAATATGTATACTCATAGTCCGGACGAAAATCTCTTATCCGGACTCCGCACAGAATAATTTCTAGACTTTCTAACACTTTTTTTTCTCCTAAGATCAAAGCTCACAAAATTAATGAATGATAACAAGAATAAATGTCGCTTACATGGAAAGAGAAAATCATAACAGAAGAAGGATCCCAGAAAGTTCTACAAATAGATACGTACGTAGATATATAATGTTTGCATAATTAGTAGTCTTTTAGAAAGGACTGCCTCTTTATTATCAGCTTTGATCTTTGGATGGTTCTCTGCTACTTCGCTCAGGAGCTTTCGAGAAGCTTGACGAAAAAGCAAGTCTTCTCAGTTCCAAAGACCGCTTCAACGCAAAATTTCGTGTTCACGAGTCACACACAGCACCTGACCTTAACCTTATGAAAGAACTAGCTTTTTTATTTTGATGCTCACCACTGCTGTTCTTTAATTTTTCAGAAAGTTGATTCTAATTTGTATTTTTTTGGTGTCAAAATAGATCAATGAATTGGATTCAGATCCGATCCAAAATTGACCTCACTCAAATCCGGTCAAACCGAATATGGCATGTTTAACAAATAAGTAAAGAATGCGGACCCGAATCCGACCGGCTAAGCAATCTGACTGACTAAACGACCCAAAACCTGACCCAAAGCTGCATTTCATGAAAAAACTGGTAATATTGAAGACAAGAAAAATAATCAATAAATTTATTAGGATACGCGCTTAGTAAAAATTAGAAATTATATGTAGCCAATGAACGGTTGACACGTGTTCCATACTTGTCACTTTACAACTATTTATATCTACCCATGTACGACAGTTGAATTTGAATAATACAGAATATTATTTTTTCTTCTTGATTCGTCTTCCTCATCTCCGGTCGTGCTCCGGCCATCTCCGATATGTCCGTTTCTACATGGTATCAGGCCTCTCGTTTCCTTCCTTCTTCAATCATGACGATTTCTCATTCTGCCTCCTCCTCCGCCACTGAGCAGCAGCCAAGAAACCCGACCGAGAACTCCCCAATCTCCCACTCACTCAAGTTCGTCGTATCCAATCTCAAGACTCTCGTCCCGCATCAATTATCACCGGACAACTATCCAATCTGGCGTCACCAGATTCTTAAGCTCCTTCGGGCAAACGATTTCGAGCAGTTCTTGGCTTCGCCCACGCATTCCGGCAACGCTTCCGATCCAGATACAGATTATGTTATCAAGAACTGGAAGATTACTGATCAGAATCTTCAAGATGCGGTCTGCTCCACCATTTCTCCGGCGGTGCTACCCTATATCATTCATATTGACACAACTCACGAAATATGGCAGGCTCTCGAAAGCCAATTTCAGGCCACAAGCCGATCCAAAGTTATCCAGCTTCGCAATGAGCTCCATCACGTGTCGATGAAAAACCTTTCCATGACACAATATCTCACCGAGATCAAGAAACTCGTCGATCAAATCGCCTCCGCCGGATCCTCCATTGACTCCGAGGACAATATATTACACATCTTGAATGGGCTAACCCCTGCCTATCAATCATTCAAGACCTACGTTCGCAATTCTCCCCTTCCCATTCGACTTGAGAATCTTTACGCGATGTTAATAAGCGAAGAAATCCATGTTAACACCGACGCTGCTCGCCTTCATACTGATACGCTACAGTAAGAAGCTCTATACTCTAACAGGGGTCGCGGTCGTAGGAACCGACGACGTTCATCTCAAGCACCACATTCGACTTCTCGCACCGGACAGCAGCAACAACTTCCTATCTGCCAAATCTGCCTCAAGAAAGGGCATACGGCCGATGTATGCTGGCATAGGATGAACGCCAACTACACCCCACCGACGACTACACCCAAGCAGAACAATGCACTTGTTGCGAATTCGGAAGCTCCGTCTCAAGACTGGTACTTGGACACAGGGGCCTCTTCGCATATGACGAACACTAGCGACAACCTCTGCCAATCCACTCCCCATATGGGCAACGATGGTATCTTCATCGGGGACGGCAGGAACATCCCGATTGTCCACTCGGGCACGGGTATTCTTCCCGCCCCGAATCGTAAGTTTCTTTTATCTAATCTGCTTCACGTTCCTAAAATCTCCTACAATCTCCTGTCTATCTCATAACTTGTTAAAGATAACAACATTTCCATTACCTTTGACCCTTCCGGTTTTGTGTGTAAGGATCTGACGACAAACAATCAGCTTCTACGCGGTCCCTGTAAAGCAGGGCTCTACAAGATCACTCCAACATCCACTACAAACTCTCAGGAAGTCGCATGCGCCGCATCCAAGAACCCAAACTTCACTTGGCACGATCGTTTGGGACATCCGCATTTCAAGATTATGAACGTATCGCTCAAAGCAATTCGGCTCTACGCATTGCTCCTCTTCATACTTCATGTACCTCTTGTATTCAATGTAAACTGCATAAACTGCCGTTTGAAAGCTCTAATTCTCGAACACACACACCTCTCGCACTCGTGCACTCTGATGTTTGGGGACCATCACCGGTTTCTTCCACTAGCGGTTTTCGTTTTTTCTTTATATTTGTAGACGATTATTCGTGATATACTTGGTTGTTTCCGATTATACATAAATCTGAAGTTACTGCCACATTTGTATCATTCACTAAGTTTATCGAAAATCAAACGAAACAAACTATTAAGATTCTCAGGACCGATGGCGGAACAGAATTTAACAACTACGCCATGAAATCTTTCTTGGATTCCAAGGGCATCGGCCATCAAATGACTTGCCCATACACTCCGGAGCAAAACGGAGTGGCTGAGCGCAAGAACCGCCATATCGTGGAAACCGTTCGATCTTTGCTTCACAAAGCTTCTATGCCTTTTCAATATTGGCCCGAGGCAACTGCAACTGCGGTATACTTGATTAACGGGATGCCCTCTCCAAATACCCACGACAAATCTCCTCTGTAGCTTCTTTTTAACACCACACCCGATTATAATCATCTTCGGGTCTTCGGGTGCGAATGCTTCCCGCTTCTTCCACCTCATACACGGACGAAATTCGATCCAAAATCCAGATCTCACGTCTTCATGGGATATTCAGACCGGCACAAGGGATACATTTGCCTTGACAGGGAATCTCAAAAATACTTTATTTCTCGACACGTTAAATTCATCGAAAACTCTTTCCCGTTTTCTAATGTCTCTCTGTCGTCACAGGTACCTTCAACAGATTTACCTTACTCCTTGCTCTTGCCAACGTCCAAATCTCATGAATTCAGCACGCAGCACATTAGCCATCAGCCAACCAAATGTCCATCAACCATTCCCACGCACAATCCTGCTGCCTCACCCATCCATTCTCACCCAAATCATACTTGTGATCCTACAGCTCGAGATTCGTCTCCACTTGCGGCATTGCGACATCCAATGACTACTAGAGTTCAAACAGGTTCCCTAAAACCATTACAACGCCTAAATCTGATGGCAAACAGGATACAACCTGCGGGCTCCGAACCCGATCCTACCACTTTCAAAGAGGCATCCAAACATCTGGAATGGCGGCAAGCGATGGCTGATGAGTTCGTAGCACTTCAACAGCAAGGCACTTGGGACCTCGTACCACCTCCACCTAACGCTCAAGTACTTGGCTGCAAGTGGACATTTCGTAAGAAATTCAACTCCGACGGCACTGTGGCTCGTTTGGTAGCTCAGGGTAACCAGCAGGAGTACGGCATCGACTACGGCGGGACGTTCAGTCCTGTTTCCAAACTGCCAACCATACGGGTCCTCTTCACTATAGCCCTCTCTAGAGGCTGGCCGGTCCAGCAGTTGGACGTATCAAACACATTCCTTCATGGACAACTTACGGA